GGCCTAGGAATACTCATTTAACAAACACTTTTAAAATAAAGCACTTTAAATCATAAGAGTTGCAGTATATATATATATATATATATATATATATATATATATATATATATATATATATATATATATATATATATATATATATATATATATATATATATATATATATATAGGGTGACGCGGTGGCGCAGTAGGTAGTTCGAGCTTCGGCATGTTTGCATGTTCTCTCCGAGTTCGCGTAGGTTTCCTCCGGGTGCTCCAGTTTCCCCCACAGTTCAAAGACATGTGGTACAGGTGAACTGGGTAGGCTAAATTGTCCGTAATATATGAGTGTGTATGTTTCTCAGAGATGGGTTGCAGCTTAAAAGGGCATCTGCTTTGTAAAACATGCTGGATAATTGGCGGTTTATTTCGCTGTGGTGACCCTGGATTAATAAAAGGACTAAACTGAAAAGAAAATGAATAAATGAATGAATATATAAATGCTATGTTAAGTCTAAGTTATTTTTATTTATTTATTTAATTATTATCCATTCGTTTTCTTTAGGCTTAGTCCCTGATTTATCAGGGGTTGCCACAGTGAAAGGAACAGCCAACTACCATGTTTGACTCAGTGGATTAATTCATTATTTATTTATTTGTTTATTTATTTGTTCATCTATTTATTTACAAGCGCTGCGGCATATGGGCATCTGAGGAGTGTGGTAGTACAAGTTACATAATCAACAGCTCATCTGTTCTCTAGACTCAGTAATCCCATTAAGACTGTGAAACCCATTTGCCTAAACTCATATGTCTTTTTAGTGGCAAGTTACAGTAGGTTTCTGGAGTCTACATTGTGTTTCTGTCAGGAGGAATGGGGTTTTCTGCAGATGGAAAGAAGATGTGAAGTTTGAGTCTGGAGCAGCTGTTGTGCAGAGCCCAAAACTATAAAGCGAACATCCTTATATTTATTCCTCATTTCCTGCGAGTGGAAGAGACACACAACGTCGCTCACAAACTTGAAAAAATGCCAGAAAGATAAAAAAAAAAGCCCATGACATTTTTTTCTAGATTCACATCTCGGTGTAAGGTTGACAGTTACCAGAAATGTAATCTTACGTCACATCACAACACATTTAGCCTTGTTTGTCCAGGTCTGGTTAGAACTTGATATTTCTAGATGATCAAAGCCAATAAAGGAGGCTTTTAAAAGAAGGCACACGCCTAAGGTCCTGAGTCTAAACTGGTCTATGTTTCTTTAATCGGTAAATCTGTTTTGGGATGCTACAATGGTTTCAGTGTTGAGATGAAGAGTGCAGTGGGTGTAAAGAAACCAGAAGAAATGTGTTGTTCATTCTCCCTCAAATAGCCTACATATAACTATATATCACTGAAATGCAACTGGAAAGATGACTGCAATTTGAAGCCCAGTAAAGGAGGTATATGAGTGAATTTAGGCTAAATGTATTTATTATTATTATTTTAAATTACATTTATTTAAAGGTGCTTATTTGCTAGTGTAAAACTAGTTTTTATTAAAACTAAAATAATTACATTTTAATATTAAAATATAATATATATATATATATATATATATATATATATATATATATATATATATATATATATATATATATATATATATATATATATATTTATTATTATTTAATAAAGGTTGCAATGGGCCTATAAATTTTAACGTATAAAGTAAATCTGCACTGTAAAAAAAAAAATCTGTTATTTTAAGTTTTATTTTATTTTATTTTTATTTTATTTATTTATTTATTTTTTTTGCCAGAAAAGAAACGTAAAATAACCGTTAGGCTACAGACATTTACCACAAGATGATAGATGATAGTAATTACAGAAATTTTCTTAAATTTTATTTTCTTACCGTCTGTTATTTTACTGTAAAGGTCTGTAATTTAACGTTTGTTTAACATCTTATCTGAAAGACAGCGCCCACTGAGCTGTACAGAGTCCCAATCAATATACTGGGGCATTAGGGCCAAATTTGCCCACCATCCAGGTGGATGCTGCATACTGGTGGTGGATGAGGAGATTCTCCCAAAAAATGTGTAAAGCACTTTGAGTGTGATAAGTGCTAAATACATGTATAAGTTTATTATTATAATTATTATTATTTTTATTATTAATATAAAAATCTTTTATTTTCAAATATGTTGGAAACTATATAGTTTAATTAACAAGTGACAAAAACAACACCGCCTACTTGAACCCACAGTAAGAGAGCAATGTAAACACGTCTTCACATTCTGAGAACCAAAAACATAGACAAAATTGTAGATCTATAATCTATATTCTATCTCTAAGTAATTAATGGTATTATTCTGAAGATACTTGGTTAACCTTTTAAGCAGTGTTGGGGAAAAATACAGTATTACAATCTAAGTCAATTAAAATGGTAACTAATTGTGTTACTTTTTAAGGAAAGAAATGCAAAAGTATGTGTTATGTTACCTATATGAAAAGAGTAAAATAGGCTTAAAATTGATATATATATATATATATATATATATATGTGATATGTCACCATGTTGTCCAAGAGAGGGAAACTCTTGTCCCAGCATGTGGAAAGATATCCAACCTGTGTCTCCTACTGACCAAGCATGCTTTAACAAAGTGATTGTGACTCATCACAAGACTGTGTCATTATAACTGACTAAACTGTCTTCAGCATGAGATTGAACGGGGAAGAAAACACTGCTGACAGAAGTAGGGCTTTTTTTTTTATTTCTTTCTTTGGGGAGGATGAATAGCCTATGGTTAAGAGTGTTTATTTTGGTTCTTATTGCCATGAAGAGATACTGTGCCTTCTGGCAGATGAGAGAGACTTGTTTCAATCCACAAGCTGAAACACACACACACACACACACACACACACACACACACACACACACACACACACACACACACACACACACACACACACACACACACACACACACACACACACACACACACACACACACACACACACACACACACACACACTGTTTTAACCTTTACATTAACACTGGTTAACCTAGGTTAAATCTTGTAAAAATGTTCCTACTTGGAGACATGAACATACATGCAAAGTTTTGAAATTTGAAGGGTGTGTTTACAAGACACAGACACCCATAAATGGATCTAAGAAAACCACTAAAAACACTGAAAAGGTTTTGTTCTTGTCAGGGGACCTCATGATGTAAAGAAACACTACATGTTTGCACTGTTGTCATGGCCATAGACTGAACATGTTATATGCAATAATGTTACAGTTTTCACAAAATTGTCTCTTGTTATAATTTTTGTAGTTTGCATGTAATGTTTTCTATTGCCAAAGTTTGCATTTTTAGGCAACGTTGGAAAATAATCATCAATGTTTAGTTGAAAACACTATATACCATTTTAAGGCATATAAACAATAACAATATAGTCCTATATTCTGCTTTACTTTTTAGTTTGCCTAGCTTCAGAGATTTCAAAAAGCTCTACATATTCATAAATGATGTTATGGTAGCTGTTTTATTGTTAAGTTGTGATTAAATTGTCTCTTTACAGTTATGGAATAGTTTACAAGCAGGAAATGTTTACAAGCAGGAGGGCCAATGGCATCACCACATTGAAATGGTTTATTGCAGTGATTCTCAAAGTGGGGGTCGCGGGACAATGACTAGGGGTCGCTTGATGATTTTCAAAACTCAAATAAATATTATTAAACTATTTGAATTACCATATATTATTCATAACCCACAGAAGATAGCTAATAGTTGCGTTAAAGAAACAACAACAACAACATACAAAAAAAAAATCAGCCATACAGACAGACAAACAGACAGACAGACAGACAGACAGAAAGACAGACAGACAGACAGACAGACAGACAGACAGACAGACAGTTGCAGCTCATCCAGAATGCTGCTGTCATTATTCTGACCAGAACCAGAAAATCAGAGCACATCACACCTGTCCTTTGGTCTTTACACTGACTCCCAGTTTTGTCTATTTGTGGTGTAAGTTTGAGATGGACTCATAAAGTTTAATATGCAATGTTATACTGCCTAATCCTAATTATCAAGAAAAATCATTTCATTTGTCTCACAAATTAAATGTATGCTAAAATCAAACATTCTGTAACATGAGTTAAAAAAAATCCTCATGAAAATATAATGATGTTTCTTGTCAATTTACTGTATATACAGTGCTCAGCATAATTGAGTACACCCTATTTTGAAAATGAATATTTTTATCCATTTCTCAGTAAAGCAATGTATTTTGGTGCATTTAAACAAAACAGATTAATTAGACAGATATATTTTTAAAATAATATTTTAGTCACAAAAAAATCAAGCAAAATATAATAATATTAATAAATAAAATACAAAATTTCAACAAAATCGTTTCTTTTTGTTTTTGCTTTTCTTGATTTTTCCTCTAATTAAAAGTTGTATTTAATATTTTTCTAATATTTAGACCATTATCGTAAGTTACTGTTAGATTAGCCCCAGATTTGGCTTTTGTACTGACTAAATCTAATGTATGCGCAAATATAAAATTGTATAGCTTTCTATTGAAAATATGAATATAAAAGATAGATTTGTGAGGGGTGTACTTATATATGCTGAGCACTGTAGGACAGATTTAGTCAAATGACCTGATGTTGCTTCTGAACAGGTCAAAGCCCAGCATGCATAATCAATAAATGAAGGAAGAAATGAGAATGTGAAGCACATGGAGACCTGAACTTCCCCTTACGTCAGCCAATGCCTCCTGTAGCTGTGTAAAAATCAGATTTAACAGCCGCATTTTAGCACTGACTAAAAGTGTTTATTATTACTTTGACTTACCCAGAATCTCTGGATGTATTATCAGTCAGTATGTGGTGAAATGTAAAAGGCCGTGTTGCTGAAGGCTGTGAATCAGGCTGATCTCATGACTGCCACAGCTCTCTATTCACTCTTTGTTTGTTGGCCTGCAGGCTGAATTTGCTCTCAACAACAAGTATAAAAGATGACCATCTTCTGATATTTAGCAAACAGACTGTTTGGTTACAGAACTGCTGCGGATGATACAGATGAACTGAAAGATGGGGAAATCATTTTAGCGTTAGGTGAAAAAAAAGCAATGGGCTACTCGTCTTTCTTTAAAAATCAGGTTTGAAGGTGAATATTCAGCCGTCAGGAGTCTTTTTTTCCTTCTTTTTCCTCGCTGCCAGCTTTATAAAGTGTTTAGGTTTGGTATCCTGACCACAAAGCAGAGAAGATGAGTAAGTGTAAGAATGATCTGAGTGAGAAAGAGAAAGAGCGGCTGCTGATCCGCCGAGCCAGTGGAGCCAAAGCCTCTCAGCTGGCTCATATGGAGAAGATGCTGCAAGAAACCAAAGGCCTGCTGGAAAAGAAGAACGAGACAGAAGTGGAGACAGAAAGTCAAAGCTGTGGGGACACTATGGGTCGGTATCTCAACTGTCTGTGAATGTGTAAATGTTGGCAGTTCCTAAAATTTATCTGTTTAGATTTAATTCTCAAATTTTAATCTTGTATTAAGTGTAAAATACATTTTGCTTTAAATGCAAAAAAATTATTTGCAGTTTATTCAGTCTTTTGTGCTGTTTTACTGTGGAAATATACAAGTCCAAAATTAGTTTTAAGCTACACTGTAAAAAATCCAATGACAAAAAGTCAAGACAACAAATATTTTATGTTACTTGTTATAATCAGTTAATCAGGTTTCAACAATTTTTTTTTTAAGTTATACAAAGTTCAGACAGTTGGATATATGCAAGTTGAGACTAGAAAAGTTCATTTAAATCAACTAAAAAAGTTAAGTAAAAAAATTGCTTAACATTGCAGGGGTATGAATCACTTTGGCATCTGAAAAACATGGTACATAACCTAAATGAAAAGAAATGTAAAACTTTTTTATTGGTTTTATTATGTGTGTTTGCTACATAGACAGACTTATCTAAGTTCTTATTCAGTGTTTTTCTTTTCTTTTCCCCACTTAAAATAAGATCAAAATATGAATTTTGAATTACAATGGCATTTTTTTATTTGTAACTTTATTGTAAATCATTTGTAAATGTATTATTTATACAGTGCTTGCAAAATTGAGTACACCCCAATTTGAAGATGACATTTTTTTATGCATTGCTCAGTGAATAAAGGTATTGTATTTTGGTGCATTAAAAAAAAATGATTTACTAAACATATATATTTATTAAAATAATATATTAGTCACCAAACATATTTTTTAAAGTGAAAGATAATACAATTTAATTCAAGCAAAATATTGCAAAAAAAATAAAGTGACAACCTATAATTTTTTTTTATTAATATATTTTTTGCTTCTCTAGATTTTTCCTCTTTTTAAATTTGCATTTATTACTTTTCGATAACATATGCATTTAGGTGTACTAGTTTTGGACCATTATCGTGACTTTTGTTAGATAAGCTCCAGATTTGGCTCCAGTACTGATTAATATATATGCACACTGATGAATGACATCTGCTGGATAAGTTGGTTGCTCATTCTGCTGTGGTGACCCCTGATTATTAAAGCCGAAAAAAAAAATGAAACAATTAATAATATTGTATAGCTTTCTATTTTAAAAAAATGAATTTAATATATAGATTTAATTATTGGTGTACTTATATATGCCGAGCACTGTGGATGTGACCCAGGACAACACAGCCATGTGTGTACATGTCATACGTGTAACTTTTTTTAAAATTGAGATTTATACATTTCCTGAAAGATATAAACTATTAAAAAAATAAGCTGATTGATGTAAACTTTGTTAGAAGATGGCAGTATTTGGCAAAGACTACTATTTAAAAATCTGAAATATGAGGGTTAAAAACAAAACAATAAATAAATAAAATAAAATAAAATAAAAAATTGAGAAAATGACCTGTAAAATTGTCTAAATTAAATACTTACTGTAGCATAATACTAATTAAAAAAAGTTATGATATATTTACTGTAGGAAACAAAATACAATATAATCTATACTTAATATTTTAATGATTTATTTCATAAAAAAATAAACAAATTTTGACCCACCCAATGTATTTTTGTTTCACCCAAAGATTTGTTTAAACTTATTTAAGATATTTTATTTTCAGTGTATATGTCTACATCAATATTATATCTATGCATAATAATTCACATTTTTAATAGAAAATATATGGGCCTTTATTGAATAATGCATATCCCTCCATGCTCTTTTTATGAAAAATTATTGAATTATTAGCCCCACTGTATTTATGTCCACAATTTTTGTTTAACGTCGGGAATATTTTTTCAACACGTTTCTAAACATAATATTTTTAATAACTTATCTCTGATAACTGATTTATTTGCCATGATGATGACAGCACATGATATTTTACCAGATATTTTTTTGTAGATACCCGTAATAAGATTAAAGTACAATTTAAAGGCTTAACTAGATTAATTATAAGTTAGGGTAATTGGGCAAATAATTTAATGATGATTTGTTCACCAGACAATCAAAAAAGTATTGCTTAGGGGGGCTAAGAGTATTGACTTTAAAATAGTTTAAAAAAATTTAAAACTGCTTTTATTCTAGTCGAAATAAAACAAATAAGACTTTCTCCAGAAGAAAAAAATATTATAGAAAACACTGAAAAATTATTTGCTCTGTTAAACATAATTTGTAAAAATATTTGAAAAGGAATAAAAATTCACAGAAGGGCTGATCATTTTGACTTCAACTGTATCTTGTATTTCATAATTGTCATGCTAACAAAGCAATTCAGTCTGACTGTTTAGTGTGTTTTCTTCAGTGTCAGATCTCGAACAGAAGGTCCAGCGCAGCAAGCGAGACCGTCGTAACTCTCTGCACCGCACACAGTTGCTGGAGAGTCAGATGAAGACGGTGCGCGGGGAGCTGGTGGGGACGCTCGACCACCTGCAGGAGCTGCGCAACATCCTGAGGCGCTCACAGCAGAGATCAGAGGAGCGCGAGGCCGCCATGCAGAGACTGGCAGCAGGTCTGAGGTGAGACTCCACCAGCTTTCCTTCACCCGATCCAGTTCTCTCATCGGATGAAGACTTTACTATATGCTGTTCATCTCAAATATCTGCTTAAACGCACATCTAGAATGACTCTGGCCCACACTGTAATGTAAAGGAATGAACCAAATATATCTTCTTTAAGCATGCCACAGTTACTCAAACAGATGGCATGATCGGTTTACACTACAAAGATCCATTTTGGTGTTCTGACGTTACTGTTGGCCTATGATAGCATCCTGTTTTTATCTTCTGTTGTCACCAAAATGCCGCCTTTAAACCTTAATTTACAGTTTAAGTATATAGGCATCTACTGAATGCCCTGTTAACTTGTGAAACAAATTTAACAGCCTGTCATATTTGACATTTTAATGGGCTAATTTATATTTGAATGCTTAAGGCAAGTGTTTTTTTTTTAATTGTAAGACTGTGTACAAATTGTTTTAGTGGAAATTGTTTAAGTGGGAAATGAGTCCAGTAATTCTTAATATGGATGTTTTAGTCAGCCATATTCATAGTTCCAGCTGTTTTGTGTTTTCTTTTCTTCTGTGACTTTATGAACTACCACATGTAGGTTCATTGTGAATATTAATCAGCATTTCAGTAATGTACTTGAACTTTACAGGTTGTGTGTGTCATACTGTGTATACATTTCTTCATTAAAATATTGATCTGTCCTTCAGGTTATAGACTTTATGAAAAGAAAACATCAATCTTATCCATTTCAGTAGTGCATTTCCTTCCCTTATCTCAAAGCTCACTTTTTCATGTTGCTTCCAGGAGCTCTTGCATAAGATCTAAGTCTACTTTTCAGATCCTCTGCTTTGTCTGAAGTTCTTTCATATTTTCTGTCCTCATTCAACCCTTACTAGTGAGGTACACTTTAACAGCAGTGACCTGACCTCACTTCACCTTGAGATGAAAGCTAAAAACTGTTGTTTTGCATGGTACATCCACACCAATAGGTGTCAGTATACATTCAAGTAGAATGCAGTATCTGTCAGGTTTAGTTGTGGTCATGAAATGGAGTTCTTGATAAATTGTTTTTTTCTTTCCTACCTGCATTTTAAGTTGTGAAAAACTGAACACTTTCCAGGTCCAAGCCTCTACTCTTTTGTATTGAGAAGATGTTTATGTCAGTGTTTAGTCATGTCACACATTAAAGCATTTTTTTTTTTTTTTTTACAAAATCATGATTGTGTAACTACATTCTGCATCTCAGACACCAATATATTAACAATTTAAAAAATAATTAATGCTTGGACATTCACTGTCAGTGCTTTAGGCATTTGAGAAACCAAATGGAGGAACCAATGCACACTTTATTAAATTAACAAAAGAAACTCAAACAGCCCCATGGCAGAAAAACAAATACTTCACTAAACTAGAGTTAAAAACCTCAGTGTCACAGCTAAGGGTCTGGATACTTAGAACCATGTGATATTTCAGTTTTTCTTTTTTATTAAATCTGCAAAAATGTCAACAATTCTGTTGTTTTCAGTCAATGTGGCGTGCTGTGTGTACATTAATGAGGAAAACAATGCCTGTTTCTCAATATCCATTCTTCAGCAATCTTGTCTCCTCGAGTTCTCGTGTAACGTCATCTTCAACTGCCAAAATTCAGTTCCAAAACTCAAGACCACAAGAACGAAGGACCCATGACAGTTCCCGCATGTGTTCTTGGTATCGAGGATGCACTGATACAGACCTGAACATCGAACTCACTCTAGAAGTCCCAGAAGTCATTGCAACTGAATAAAGGAGGTGGGACGTTCAGCATTTTATATAGATTTATTATTAAAGTTCAGAGATATAAGTGATTTATCTCAGGAGTTTTACCATAAAAATATTTATAAAGCCATAAAACACATTAAGGGTGTTTATTTGCTGATATTCATATTAAAATATGTTTTATTTATATTGTGCGATGTATATTTTTAAGGTTTTTGTGAATGTGATATGCTGAAAAAGGAAAACATGATAAATCGTTGTGTGAATGCTGTAATGTTTAAATAATTTTCCATTAAAAATGCGAGAAGGAAAAAAATGTGTTTCTCCGAGGTAACCTGACAAGACCGGTCTTCACAAGAACGCAAGTTCGTTCTCTGCCTTCTTGCAATAGAGAAACAGCCCTAGAACTTAAAGGATTTAAGCAAATGGATGCAATATAACAAAGAGTGAAAAATTTAAGGGGGTCTGAATACTCTCTGTACCCACTGTAATCCTATAGTATATTTGTAAGTTCACTTCTGGTAGAAATTAAAACTTTATGTTTACTTATGTTTACCACTGTTACACGTATATGGTACACTTAAAAGTAAGTACGTTTTAGGGTGCTTTCACATCTGTGGTTCAGTTAATTTGGTTGAGACCAAGCGTAACAAATGATACATTGTTTTTGGGTCCTTTTCACACTGATTACTTTGATTCAAACCAGTTGAAAAGAACCAAAATGTAGTCGTGTGACAAAATCCACTTAACCCCCTATTGCATGGCCTAACCATATGGCAAAATGGTGAAAAGAAACAGATGAAAAGAAACATCAAACTGCAAAAGCATAAAAGATTGAAACGGCACATAGGTAAGAAAAGAAAGTGAATTCAAAGTGAATTGCGCTTTAGCACTCAACATTTATAATATCCACAGTACTTCTTTATTTTGTTGTAATATTGTTGAACATTTGCTTATCAGTTGTGCTCTGATGGGGTCCAACTTTTTAGGTTATCTGCAGGGCATTGAGAACTTTGAACTGATGAACTGGCAAATCCAAACAACTATAATCTCCTGAGTTACATACATTAAATCTTTAGTAAACAAAACTGCAACATTGCATTATGCTTATTTAAGGTTTCTTCCCTCTGGCAGGTTATTATGAATCTTGACTTATCCGTTAGCTGATAAGGATCGACATTAAAGAACTCTGATGCTGAACACAGGATGGCCTAAGTGATTCTCATCAATATATTCTTAATATGGACTAAAATCTCAGGTGCTTTACCCAAACCATGCTCTCTAATTACATTATAAAACCTCTCAGATCACTGCACAGAGAATGGAAAATTACAATACTAAGATCTGTTGACCCAAGTAGGCATAGTACATGGGTCATTCACAGGTAACAATGCTTTTTTATAAGTGTGATGAAAGCAAATATTAAAAAGAGAATAAAAAAACTGTTGTTATTTTTATTACACAATTCTAATTTTAGAAAGCAAGGCATTGTTATTTTCCTTGCATATATTCACATTGGAAAGATGTGGTCCTTTTGGCCTTGTGCAAAAGAGTGCTTTTGAAACCAATAGTTTCATTCCAATTGGAATAAGAGAAACTCTAAAATCACAAGAGTTAAATTTACTTGCAGTCACTGTCCATTGTGTCAATTACTTGCATATAATTAATTTCTTTAAGTGGAATTATTTTATTAAACATTAATTTGTTTTTGAAGTCCAAATCCATAGTGCCTCACAGAAAAAGGTGGTTTGCCGACTTTAGGTTGGAGGAAAGTCCTTACCCCAGGTAGAGGAGTTCAAGTATCAGGTTTTGTTCACGAGTGAGGGAAGGATGGAACGTGAGATTGACAGGCGGATTGGTGCAGTGGCAGCAATAATGCGGTCGATGTATCGGCCCGTTGTGGTGAAGAAGGAGCTGAGCCAAAACGCAAAGCTCTCGATTTGCCAGTCAATCTATGTTTCTACTCTCACCTATGGTCATGAGCTTTGTGTCATGACCGAAAGGACAAGATCTCGGAATCAAAAGTGGTTGAAATTAGTTTCCTTCGCAGGGTTGCAGGGCGTACCCTTATACATAGGGTGAGGAGCTCTTCACCTGGGAGGAGCTCAGAGTAGAGCTGCTGCTCCTCCACATTAAGGAAGTCAGCGAAAGTGCTTCAGGCATCTATTTCAGATTTTCATTCAAAATTAGCATTTTTCTCAGGCTGTTGTATGTAGTTTTAGTAATTTTATTCTCAGTGCAAAGAACAGGTTATTGTCATTGGCTTAAAAAAAAATTAGAGAAAATTTCAGATGGCATTTAGAGATTTTTGCATTTAAACTCTTCATTTGTACAATTTAAAGCTCAGATGTTTGAAGCAGTTATGTTAACTAATATACATGACTTCATTTGACTTGATAAGAAAAACAAAAAAAATTAGTTAATTCAACAAGTTAAATCCAGATAAGTAACTTATCATTCATTCATTTTCTTTTCGGCTTAGTACCTTTATTAATCTGGGGTCGCCACAGCAGAATGAACCACCAACTTATCCAGAATATCTTTTACGCAGCAGATTTCCTTTTAGCTGCGACCCATCTCTAGGAAACATCCATACACTCATACAGACTTATAGACTACGGAAAATTTAGCCTACCCGATTCACCTGTACTGCATGTCTTTGGACTTGTGGGGGAAACCAGAGCACCCGGAGGAAACTCACGCAAATGCAGGGAGAACATGCAAACTCCACACAGAAACTTCAACTGACCCAGTCGAGGCTCAAACCAGCGACTTTCTTGCTGTGAGGCGACAGCACTACCTACTGCTCCACTGCGTCGCCAAGTTAACTTATCTCAAAATATTAAGTTGTGATAATTAATTAGTGCAATATATTTTTACAGTGCAGTTTTGCAAGAATGTGGATGTAGGGGGTCAGTTCCCTGAAACACACTTCTGCGCTATAAAAAATATGTGATCAATTAGTATTGATGGTACATGTTTTTAATTCATTATTAAACTAAGTGAATTATGTTCTAACTTAATTTTATAAGTTACACAAGCTTTTTAACAAAATATAAGTTCAATGGACTCATAACATTAATTTGATTCAGCTTAAAAATGTAAGGCAACCAGGATTTTTAGTGTGCTTTCATTTTCTGCATATAAATTTAAAACTGCGAAAAGACTCATAAGAGCAAAATGTGCACTGTAAACCCAAAAAAATAGTTGACTTTCCTAGAAATTTGTGTGGAAACCAGCTTTAATGCTGATTCAAAACTTGAATCAGCATTAAAGATTCAACAACTCTACAGAGCATCAGCAGCAACTAATATGATTTGCTTGATTTTTGAACAAAAGTTATCGGTAACAATTATTAAAAATTAACATTTTAATTGTTTTATTGAAACTACAAATTTTCAGAAGCTAGCCCTGCTGTGAAGGGGGGTTGCTTTACCTGGAGCCCCTGCACGTTAATGTCAGCTGTAATTCATGTTAGATTATGTGTTATGGCAGGGGTGGCAAACCCTATTCCTGGAGAGCCACCTTCCTGCAGATTTCAGTTGCAACCAATATCAAACACACCTGCCTGTAATTATCACGTGGTGTTCAGGTCCTAAATAATTGGTTTATGGTGTTTGATATGGGTAGCAACTAAAAATCTGCAGGAAGGTGGCTCTCCAGGAACAGGGTTGGCCACCCCTGTGTTATGGCAAGAGAAACAAGAAGCAATTTGATCTAGTCAGTGATTTTTAATATTGTATAATAATGAATAGAATGAGAGGCAGGAGTAATGAATCAGCATATGAATAATTACAGTGACACTTTTTTAGTTACAGTGCATGACACACCTAATTATTAATACATTGCTGCATTCATCTTTCCCTCTATCCTGACTAGTCTTCCAGTTCCTGCTGCTAAGAAACATTCCCACAGCATGATGCTGCCACCACCATGCTTCACTGTAGGGATGGTATTAGTCTGGTGATGAGCGGTGCCTGGTTTTCCCCAAACGTAACTCCTGGCATTCACTCAAAAGAGTTCAATTTTAGTCTCATCAGACCAAAGAGTTTTGTTTCTTATGGTCTGAGAGTTTTTCAGATGCCTTTTGGCACATTCCATGCAGGAAGTGGCTTCTATCTGGCCATTCGACATTACAGGCCTGATTGGTGGATTGCTGCACAGATGATTGCCCTTTTGTAAGGTTCTCCTTTCTCCACAGAACAACGCTGGAGCTCAGACAGAGTGACCATCGGGTTATTGATCACTTCCCTGACTAAGGCCCTTCTCCCTCGATCACTCAGCTTAGATGGCCGGCCAACTCTAATAAGAATCCTGGTGATTCTAAAGTCTTCCACTTACTTATGATGGAGGCCACTGTGCTCAATAAATCTTTCGGAGCAGCTAACATTTTTCTGTAACCTTCCCCAGCCTTGTGCCTCGAGACAATCCTGTCTCGGAAGTCTAC